GACAAGGTCCAACGGTCACAAACTCCTGCAAAACTGTTTTAGCCTGGACGTAAGGAAAAACTTCTTTACTGTCTGAGCTCCCAAAGCCTGGGACAGACTCCCCCCAGAGGTGGTGCAAGCACCTACTCCGGACACCTTCAAGAAACATTTGGAAACCCATCTAACTGGGATCCTTTGACCGTAGCTGACTTCCTGCCCCTTGGTCTGGTGGCCAGACCCAATGAGCTCATAAGGTCCCTTCCAGCCCTAATGTCCATGAAATCTATGTATCAAAGAGTACAGAAAAATTAGAAAATTCAAATATAAATGCATTAATCTTCCAAGTTATACAGCCATGCCTCTGTAAAAAACTATGCAGTTATAAAAAATTACAGAATACAGATGTTAGTATTCTTCTTCTCCTCACTCTCTTCAAAATAAAACCATAGTTACTTTCATGTCAACTAATAAAAACAAATGCAGAAGCAGTGCAGAGGATTTCGTGCAGTTGAGAACACTTTCTCAGCCAAAATATGCTTTTCCTTAGATGAATTAGAACTAAACAAGCTTTTCACTTCAAGTCAGTATTTTTAATAAAAAAAATTATAATAAAAATGGCTTAATAGGGCATAAATGTATCAATTTATTATTTTTGAGATGCAAAGAGGACCTAATTTAAAGTAGCATTTCTATCACAGCCCACTATATTTTTACTATGTCCCAAGTGAAAATAACTTTCCTTCCTAACAGCAAAGGCTGAACTGCATATCTTAGATATACCTATTACTGGCTTTTTCTCAATAAAATCCAATTCTTGCCCAATAGCCACCCTACAGAAATCTACAAAATTTAAAGTTGTATTAGAGCAGGCCACCTTTTACTTTATAAGATTTATTCTTAATTTTTGAACATGTACATACATTGTAGACTCAACAAAATGATGTCATCCTTTCAACAAAATAAAGGCAACTGTCTTCTTGCTAGCTTCCTTTTGATAATAGTATAGCTAAACTGCAAATAAGAATCTGGCATCCAGATAAAGATAGTATTGCCATTTTGTTAACAAGGAGCTGGATTAGATTACTCTGTAATTACATGGTTCTGTAGTGTGATTAATTGCTTAACAACAGGATACTCAATGTAGCTGCTTAGTGGAAATTCAATATTCACAGGTAGAATACCAAATATGCACCTGTAACTAAAAGTTTAAATCTTCAGACAGCTTAGTATTCTTCAGTCAAGTTAGTGGCATTATGAAAAAAAGTGGTTCATTTTAAAAACTTGTTTGATATTCTTACATTAACACTTTCAGATTAACCATTCTGTTGTTTGTTTGTTTTTTGAGTGACTCCACTTTTATAAATGTATTTACAGTTCTCAGAAAAGCTACATAAAAATTCAGACCAACAGGTATGTTGATAAGTATATTGACAGCAAGAACATCTATTTAGTCTTTCTTCACTATCCCACATCCAAGAGTCCCACTAGAACTCCTACACGGGGGGACTCTTGTCAGCTCCAATTCAGAATCTTCTGACTCAAGAGATGAAACTCCCCTGCCTGTCTTCCCTATCTGTAAAAGGAGACTCATTATTTCAGTATTGTAGGGAGCAGCAATTGATTTTTGCAAAGTGCTATGTAAGTGGTAAATTCATCTAAACACCCTATGACCTAATGACTCCCAAACTCACAGCTTACTTGGAAAATTTTCCATTGAAAATATTTTAAAGTGTTGTTTCAAGCTTGGACCACAAAGCAGTGGGCTTCACTGCTCTTGTACCTGAAGACTGGAAAGAAGGAATCAAAGATGCCTCTCTGTATATACAAATCATTAGTTAAGATGAATCCCTTCACTTTAATGTGAAACACTTTAAAATCATAAGGTCCACCTTTTCCATGGAGTTGATTGTACTAAGAATGTGAGCCCTGAAGTAATTTATTTCACATGATTTCTCATTAAAAGCTAAGAGCAGCTGACTCCAGTTTCAGAAGAGACTTGAATCCAAACGTATAATAAAACCTACCTTCTCATATGTGTGCAATATTGTGGGAGCTCAGTTGTACATTGATAGAGTTAAGCAGGGTTTGAATTACGGGGGTGTCAGGGGGCCTGAGACCCTTCTTTGTTCTGTACAAGGTATAGGTAAGATGGGGTGGGAATGCACACTATAGAGAACATCTCTGTAACCTGTTATACCAGATGCACGTGAACAATACTATTTCTGCAGCATTCAGATCTTTACAGGCATTAATTTGGCTTGGGTACAGAACTGTAATTTTTGGTCACTCTTTTGCCTCAGTTTGAGATGGCATTTTCTTTGTTTTTAGAAACTAATTTGAAAGGTATTTTATTGCTCTATGTAGATCTCAGGGCTATAATTTCATCTGCCTCATTTTTTCCTAACTTCCAGGACAGCCAGCAGGGTTTTCTATTCCACATAGTGCCTACAATTTGGGATGCATAATTTATGAGTTTAAGTTTACCTTCATGTTCCAGTTTTAGACCTTTAACCTAGCAATAGATTTATTTTTTATTATCCATATCAACAGTTTATTGATATAATATGGAGCTATCACCAAGTGCACACCAGATCTTACTGAAACAACTTATCTTGCTTTACTTTCATAATTGGCACAACTAAAACTGTGGATTTACTAAGTTGGTGTTTGGTCTTACAATCAGAATGCAGATTCAAGCATGCTCTTGACTTGGAAGGGTCATTATTTACATCAGGTTAACTGGTTTTTTTATTATTATGCCGGAAATGGGGCTAAGTTCAGAGGCAATTAGTGTATGCTTGAGAGTTTGAGTATAAAGTAGCCTTAACTCGGTGTAACTTAAATACAAGTAACAGAAAGATGGCACAAATTTACGAAGGAAAAGATGACATACCCTCAAGCCCCATTAGTCATTTTTCCTGCCACGTTCTTGTCTTTCAGCCTCTGGGGTCAAGTTCAAATGTGATTTCTAAACAAGAAGTTAAGTATAGCTAAGCATGCTGGAATCTAAGTAAGTTCAATCTAATAGCAAATGAATCTCCCAGCAGTCTGAGGAAGGAGATTTTAACAAAAGTCCCATTACTGATTTATTATCTCTTATCATCCTGCTGCAAAGGTGTTTCCCCCAGCCATGGGGAAAAAAGTGAAGATGTTTCCAAATGCTGTTAATCACAATAAATCTAAACTTAACACAGACCATAAAATAGATGGTACTTGTCTTACCAGCAGCTCCTCCCCCCTTTTTAGAAGAATGCTACCTAGCTACCAAAACTGAGTCTGAAGGCCCCAGGAATGGTCTCTCCACAGGGCAAGGAACCGTGCATAAGCCAGAGAGACATCCTTCTAGGATCCAGTCCAACTAGGATAGTGAGTACAGATGGACAAGACACTTTTCTCCAGATGATGGAGGGAAGGACTGTTTGCACCTGGAATACCAATAGATAACCATAAGGTGGACTGATCTCTCATTTGGTAATTTTTATTTTTATTTTTTTACTTTGCAGTATAAAGAATATTTTTGTTGAATTTCACTTTGGTTGGAGTTGCAGAGATATAATTTAAGCATTTCTATTCTATTTAATTTCAAGACATTAGTATCTGTATATCAGTGTTGGATGTTGTCTTAATTAAATCCTTTGTATCATCACAATTTAACAATTAATTGCACTTTTTGTTCACTTTTTAGTGTAGAGTTGGATTTTAAGCAGCAAGAAGACAAGCTACAGCCAGTTCTGAGAAAACTTCATCCTATCGAGGAAACTCAGGTTGCACCTTTGCCTTACACTCAGGAGAGTTACTCCTCAACTCCCAAGCAAAAATCCAAAACTGAATCAAAAAAGCATGGAAGATGGAAACTCTGGTTTCTTTAACTAAATAAAGTCCACTAGACCTGGAATTTAAGGCCTTCTTTGAAACATATTTGGAATTCAGTTATTCATATCAAAAAGGGATCTTGGTAAATTGATTAGTGTATTCAGCCAGTGTTATTCTAATTATTATGGGCAGCATTCAGTTCTCAACATATGTACCAAAAAGGCCTTTGTACCTATAAATTAACATTCAGGAGCAAGGCATTAAATCATACCTTGCCAGCTTCTATTTGCAGTTCACCTATGTGGGATGTAAAATTTAAATAAAAATCTGTATAGAAAAAGATGGCTAGTAAAACTATTCCCCCCAAGTCAGATCTGAAAGAATCACATTTCAACCTGTTAAACAGCAGGCTGTCATCCTGTACACGGATAAATATCACTATTTATTTTCAAGCCTTTTTGAGTTTTTTTTTTTTTTTTTTTTTTTTTTT